TGCTGCGGCTGCGGCTGCGGCTGCGGAATGAGATGTGGCAATGTAAGCGTGAGTGTGATTCATTGCCTCAACCAGGCTCATGAAATGTTTCTGATGAATACGGCAGAAAGTCCGCCGAAAATCATTTTTCGGCGGACTTTCTTGATCCTAGCACACTTCAATACCCCATGAAATGAGTAAGGCTGATGTGTCACACAGCAGTACATGAGACTGATGTGTTACACAGCAGTACATGAGATCACCCACCAGCTCAGGCACGACAACAAAGATTATCTCCGCCATATGAAGCTGCGTGCATGGCAAATATGTATGATGGGGAGATGTATACACACATGTAATGGACAGAAGCATCTGCACATGTGTCATGGAGATAGCTACAATACCTACACCTGCACATGTAAGCGGTGATTGCGTCACCTGAACAACATGTAGCTCACTCTGCCACAGCTGTGTGAACTTTGGAGGAGAGCCTGGCCGACACAAGAGTTTTATTACATATGATTCACTCACCCAGGTGATGTTATCAATGGGTTGTGGTGTATGTACAAAAGGGGCATACACGTAATGATGGCAGTATGGCTTGAATGTACACATCAACCTTGATCAATCATACTTTTCACTTATCACTTATCAGATCAAGGGAGATTTGTCAGGAGTTGCAATGGGATGAAGTACAGCACAGAGTATGTCCTATGTTACCTAACATGCTCAAGATTGATTACTACATACCCTAAACCATCACTGGAGTAAGTAAGCAAAAACACTTGAAGAGTGACACAAGTTGATAAACACATGAGGAATAAAGAAAACAAAATATAACAAAAATGAACAACTATTCATCCTCAGCTAAAGATTCCTCCTCACCACCACCATCAACTATTTCCTCCCTAGCCTTCTCCTTAGCTTGAGTGATTGCTTTTAAAGGATGCTTCTTGGTGACTCTTGATCCATCAGCCTCCTTATACATAGCTTGAGGATCAGTTACAGGAGTAGCCTTACCCTCAGTTGAAGCCCAAACAGATCTGAAAGGTTCAGTGATTGGGATTAAAGCTTGACCTTGATTCTTGCTGTTAGAGTCAAAATCAGGAGCCACTGAACCATCAGGACCTCTTGAGGAAAGAGGAGCATGGAGCTCTAAGCACAAGTCCAGAGTGTAGAGATAAGAAAGAGAAGTGGGGGAAAACCTATCATGAAACATCCTAGTCATTTGAGGCCAATCAATTTTGCGCTTGAAATCACCTTTATCATCAATAATTCTCTAAGTATAGTAAATAAATGATGATCTAATCTACTCCAGGACCTTTGATAAAACACATGAGGCTCAGACTTTGAAGCTTGATTTCTCCTTTGAGCTAAAATACTAGACATATGAATCATCAAGGCAGCATCTGTCATCTTTTGCTCTCTATACCAAACCCAAACATGAAATAAAGCCAGAAGTACCAAACATAAGGAAAAGTGCTAAAGCTTGAATGGCTTGTCTTCTGAAATTGAAAGTTTCATCATTGGCAGCAGATTGAATTTCCTTCTCAGTCACCTTAGCTAAAGCATCACTTGATGGAACTTGATTTTTCTTGAGACCAGTTAAAGCTTTGATGGGATTTTTGCGGATATAATCTGAGGAAAGCTGATGTAAAATAGAGCCTTTAAGTTCATTTCTTCTTGCTGCAATCTGATTATAAGTTCTTTTAACCTTGCAGTACATTTTAAGTTGTCTATTATAAACATCCCTTTCATAAATCAACATAACACCAGTGAGAACTAATAAAAAGCGCTTTTGAAGCCAACCAATACCTAAAGGATGAACTTTACTAGATTTAACTTCCTGCTCCTCCATAGCCTTCATCATGCATTGCTGCCAAGCCCAAGCAATACTCTGAGACATTGGTACCATGCTGGCTGCAACCTTATGTTCACCTTGAGTCTTAATTTCAATATCTTCACACTTAGCATTATATGAGATGAGTTCTACACTTTCCTCAAATATTCTATGAATAGTTTTATGAGCAGTCCTTAATTTATTCTTGATGTCCTTTTCAGAAGTCCACACAGATGATTTCGAAGTTCTGCAGGCCATGGAGTGGAATGCACGAAAAATCCGGTGTCTTGAATCCCAGGGATAGCGAGTTGATTCCTGAATCAATGGCCACTTGATTGAGGATCCAGTAAGGTATGGATCAGTGGCTGCGATTTGTAAAAGTCGAGGGCCTAGCAAACAAGGTGACAAGAGTCAGTTCAAATACACAAGGTAGAATAAATAGAGAGATGAAACTTACAAGACTGGATATTCTTGGGGGTATCTTTTTCATTCACCTTTCTCTTCATCAAAACAACCAAAGGCTGAAGCATCTCATGAGTAGGCTGTCCCAGTTGGCTGTTCTCATGGTACTTCCAGCTTGAAATGACTCCTATAACCGAGTCCTTAAGGGCTTCACCCCAGTCGAATTGAGTGGAGTTCAAAGTCGCAGCTGCAGTTCGAAGGAATTCGGTCTCTTCCGCAGTCGGACTTTCAATGAGTTCTAAAGACGGTTCGAACAATATTAGTGATGTATTCAAAACAGAAAGTCCGCCGAGTTTTACTTTTCGGCGGACTTTCTATTACAAAAGCGGTAGGACTAAATAGAAGAGAAAGCCCGCCGAAAAGTAAAACTCGGCGGACTTTTTGACGCGGAAACAAAGATGAAATGATATCAAGAAAACAGAGAAAGGGTGGTATGACTTACTGGAAACGTCCAGAATCGATTCGGAGTTGTGAAAGATGGAGGTCGGAGATATGGGGAGATCGTCGACTGCAGGCTCAGCCGCCTTTGCCGGAACAGACTTGACCGAAGCCTTACCCTTCCCCACCAGATCCTTCGCATTGACCACCTCGTTTTGAATTGCATCCGGACCGCGGATCTCCTCCTCCTCACTATCATCATCACTGTCACTTGACCCTTCATCTTCATCTCCGGATTCGTCCTCATCGTATACGAACTCGGCACTCTTGTATTCCACTTTTCTTCGCTTCTTCTTACCACCACATCCCTCTTGTTGTATCTCCTTCTCGCTGACACCAGCTTCTAGGTCCAAGTACCTCTTAACGGACTTGGCCATCTCTGCATTCGATTCCACTCACATTAGCCATCTTGTGATTCTTCTAGTGGATTCAACATAGACTGAAGACTCACCTTGCTTAGCCGAGAGACCGCCTTTGTGTTTAGACACCGGATGAACCTTCTTAGGCATCGGATTTCGAAAAGGGATGATTTCGATTTCATCCTGCCCTCCTGTAATAGCCTCATTGAGTCGCTTTTCCCGCATTTTCAAAGCCTCGTCAGAGAGAGACAATGCGGTCATCATCAATTCGATCTCACCGTCGAAATCGACGGGGTCGTCCTCTTTCTTCGTGCTTTCCTGAAACTCCCTGAAAGCCTTCAAAGACTCCTCATGGATAGCTTTAACTAATTATGATAAGGAGTCAGTGTTTGTAAGCATCACATGTGACCGCTGAAAGATGATAGCTTACATCTTTGATAGCGACTCAAGGCGCCGCTGACCTTCATTTTTCTCACTGCTTGCGACGAGTCCGGGTCCTAAGGAATCAGAAGATCATTGTTAACATCCAAATATTAACTCAAAGCCCGCCGAAAAATCATTTTCGGTGGGCTTTCTCGAACGTGAAGTAAGAGTAGAAAGTAGAAATAAAGCAAGAGGATAGGAAAAGAGGAAAGAATAGTGGACAGAACGGAAAGCCCGCCGAGAATGACTTTTCGGCGGGCTTTCTCGAATGAGAAATAGGAATGGAGCAGAGGAAATGAAGCAAAGAGATAGGAAGTAAGAAAAGAATAGAAAACATAACAGAAAGCCCGCCGAAAAGTCATTCTCGGCGGGCTTTCTCGAAAGTGATACAGGGATGAAACAGAGAAGAGAAAGACCGCCGAGAATGACTTTTCGGCGGGCTTTCTCACAAGAGAAGAGAAAGACCGCCGAAAAGTCATTCTCGGCGGCCTTTCTTGAATGTGATAATGGAAAATGTCTTACCTCAGAGTCTCCTTGTTTCACCTTTGGTATTTTATACTTATTGACTTTCTCCATGGCGGACTGTATAGCTGTGGAGCCTTCGTTTGGGATACCCTTATGGTTCGATGTAAATCAATTAGCAAGAAATTCAATTTTGAGTAAAGAGATGAGATGTGGCTTACCTTGCCTTTGTTTCTCTCAGTGGCCGTTTCGCCCTCTCCCGCTCCTTGCACCTCGATTCCCTCCTCTTCAAATTCGATTTCGAACTCGGAGCCCTAATGAGAAAGATGATGTTGGTGAGAGTGATTGTAAATGGGATTCAGGAACTTACTTCTTCAAACCCAGCGTCCATTTCTTTCTGGATTATCGCATCCACCTCCATTTCGTCTATCGCTACATTGCTGTCTTCCATTCCAGTGGTCTATTGGGTTCAACTGGGTCAGCTTGGGTTCCATCTTTAATCATGCAGTAAGGACAGGGCTCACCTTATCACCTGATGGTGGAACTGGAGTTACTAGTCGCTCCTGAGACTGAGATGGTGTGATTTCCTATCGAAAAATCGAACATCAGATGGATTCTGTAAGGTGTTCTGTTATATGACTAATACTTATAGTTATCACTTACTTGGGACATGATCTACATCAAGATGAGGCCGATTTCATGATATCAGTTAAGGTCGATTTTAGAATATCAGTTAGAATCAGTAGACCAAGCCTTGTACTTTTGACTTACTTGATGTGGATGGTGATGGTGATTTATTCTTGGTGAGGTTTGTTGAGGGATGCTGAGTTTTGTTGAGAATGCAATGGATGAATTCGATTTATGATCTGTGATTTTGAAACCAAGTGGGAGGTTAGAGCAGAGGGGGCCTCCTTTTGAAGCTGAAAGTGTCTGACCCTCCTGGTTCGACTTGTGGTTGCCGATCACATGTCATCAATCACTTTCACAAGTCGACCTGTACAAGCACCTGTCACGCGCGTGACATAGGTGTTTGCAAAAGGTTATACGTGGGATTCGAACCCAGGTCCTTCCCCTCTTGGGCTTGTGCAACCAAGTGTTCTAACCGCTGGACTATAGTCCCTGTGCAGGTATACCTCACTTCAGGGTGAGAACACATCCACAATGTATTGTGCTTCTCACCTCCAATGGTTACCTTTGCTAAAGTTCACACCTGTCCTTCTGCTACATGGTTCTTGATACATTGTCTTGAGTTGTATGTGGGGTGCGTGTGGTGAATAGTGTCCTCTGGCTGCGTGAGGACACTCTGCGTTTGCAGTGGCTACAGCTTGGCATGGATTCACATTGCAACGGAGCACAGCCCCAATCATCACGTGCAACCTACTTTGCTATGACGCTGCACTGTACATATTGATGTTATTGCTGGTATGTGTCGTAGGCGGTGAGTGCTGTGCATTGTGATATGTACCGTACACTTCAAGGTCTGGCTTACCGTCAATGATTGACATGAACTCGTAGCCAGCCATAGCGCACCTTACTCCCCTTGTACAAGGCAACATACATGTGGAAATTCTGCCGTGCCACGTACAAACCTACCTCACGAATACGCCCGCCAAAAATCGAAACATGGCGGTCTTCCACTTTCACGCACCCTGACTGAGGTACTTATGGCCAGTGCCTCCCACCAGCCACGAGAAAGTCCGCCGAAAATCAATTTTCGGCGGACTTTCTTTAAATTGCGCCCCAGTATTTAGGGGCTCAAGGCTCAAGGCAGAGGGACTGGGGCGCATCCGGCCAATTGCGCCCCAGTGCGCCCCAGCTTCGAGCCCCCCCGCCGGGGGGGCGGTAGCTAGGCTGTCACAGATCGCTTCTTCCGAAAGTAGTACCAGCTGAACAAATCACACACATTCTGCATCCCACTGTCACACATCCCACGCTTCCCATCAGTAGACGTCTCATGAAACTTGCCATCCTCACTCCACCGCGTGGGTAACCCACAAAAGTGGCACATAAAGTTCAACGCAGTGCCATGTCGCTCAATCGTAACAGACATGGCCTCAGCCGGACAGTCCTTGCGGTAATGTGCTGAAAACACTCTCATCAGTAAATCCCTAAAAACATTAATATCTGGAATCACTCACAATCAAGGCACTGCAGGCATGACTTGCCAACTCCGGGGCACCTCCCTGCATGATACACTATCTTCTTATCCTTGGCCAAACATAACCCACACACATCTCGCATACCCTTGCGAATATTTTCAATCTCTAGTCCAATCTTTGCTACCAAGCTGTCCTTCTCCCTAGCACGCTTCACATTGTGCAGGAACATGGGCCGGCTCCCCGGTGCAACAACCTCTGGTTCAACTTCCTCCTCAGCTGCCCTCTTCGCACTCTTCTTGCCCTTGTGATAACAATGATTACACATGTTCAGGCACCCTACATCCACACACGCTCGGTGCCCCCCATCAAGCAGTTCCGCAAACGTCCCAATCACACACCGCTCCACATCTTCAAGCTTCTCAGCAATACTTCCTTCAGCCCCCTTGCCATTCGGGTAGAACCACACATTAGCTGCTGCTCCATCTCGTCCTGCTCGCCCAGCCTCTTGGAAGCTCTTGTTCACTTCCTTTGCATTCTCTGGTAACCCACTTATCATAACATGCCGCACATGCTTGTAGTTGATTCCTGCTCCAAATCCACTCGTCGCAATCATCAAACACTTGGGCGTCATCTTCCACATCTTCACATTTGCCTCAGCCTCCTCTTCTCCTAGCTTCGAGTGATACATAGTAATCTTCAACTCAGGATGCAACACTTGAATTTCCTTCACAGCTTGCCCTATCTCCCGGATGTTCTCAATGAAAATAATGTTCCGGTCACACTCCTTTAGCTGGGGTCGCGTCGCATTCTTGCCCATGTGGTGGATCATCGATTTCCAATTGCAAGGCTCAGTAACAGCAAATTGAAGTTCTGGTCGCCCAGTAGGTTCACGTCGTACCTTCACATTCGTAATAGAGAACAGATCCCACAGTGCCCCCTCATGCCCTACTTGCATCGTCGCAGTCATGAAAACAAACGGCGCATTCAGTTGTCGCAATCGGGCTACTCCATGCGCATACGTCCGATAATCTTCATCATCTTCATAACAGTGACATTCATCAATCACAACTCGATTCAACTTCTTTCCCACTAATAAGCTATAAAACTCTTCAGTTCCCGCCATATCCGTCGTGCATACCACCACTCGCATCCAGTCCGGAATCGTCCCCTTCGTTTTCCACACAACATGCTGTACTCCTTTACGCTTCAGCTCTTCTGCAGTTTCAGCTACCAAGGCCTTCAGGGGCTGAATAATAACAGTAATCCCAGTATGCTCAACTAGTGGAGGTAACATGTACCCCAACGACTTGCCACTTCCAGTACGTGCAACAACCAACATATCAGTGTTTCGCTCAAATACCATAGACAGCCACTCCGCCTGAAATGGATCTCGAGTTCCACATTGTTCCTGCCCAGTATACAAACAAAGTGCTTGCTGAACCAGCTCAGAAGTGGGGATATGCCTTTCAGGTGGCGGAACGGGTCCAAATCCTGTGTGCATCACAGTGTCAATCTGCTCAATCATTCCAGTCAGTCATGTGGCTCCCCTATGAATACATATGAAAGACAAACAGCTGACCTGCCAAAATCGGTGCATAGCCAGACTAGCAGCTTCATACTTGGTTTCAGATACCCTATCAATCTCATACCCTCCAGTTCCTCCATACGCTAAATTGGCCGTTTGACTACTATGTCCTCGCTGACAATCAATCATGTCATCTTCTCGGTACAACGCTACATTGCACTTGATGTGTGCATCAACAATCGCAACTGATACATGTCTCCACGACTTAATTCCAAGTGGAGCCACTCCTCCTTCAATGAACATCCGCTTTAGTATGGCAGAAAAGTCTTCACTATGCAGTGGCCCCTTGGCACTGCTCACCCACATCTTCTTCCGCATTTCATCGGCCCGAGTGTGATGACCAAGTGCCCTCAAGAAGAATCTGGACATCCAAACTTCATGTGAGCATCTAAGCAAATCTCAGCCAAACCACAAAAAAATTAAACTCACACTGCAACAGGCCTCAAGAATCCTATGTAGTAAAACCATATGAAGCTATGACCTTTGGGAAGAAACGTCATGCGTGCTTTGTTTTTCCCTGTGATATTCCTGCTCTTGTGATACCACATCAGGAATGCAAATCGTCCAGCACGTAGATAGAAATTGCGTTGGTTCAGTCTGGTGTTGAGTAACAGGGTGGTCGCCTCTTCTGCTCCTCGCAAAGGTTGGCCAGCTGCCACATGATACAGAAAATAAAGCCTCTCCTGAAGTTTGTCATACATTCCAAGCCATCTTAGCATCCCAGCTTCATCCCAAATCTTCTTGTCATGAATAGGCACATCCTCTCCCGATCCCCCCTTCCAAGTACTCTTCAATAATCCATGTACATCTTTCCTGCTCACCACTTCCTTCAATACATGTAGCCCATACTTTTTGTATTCCATAGCAGAGTGATCCAAAAAGTTGGTGAACGGCTCCCGGCAGCTTGCATCATCCTTGTACAAATCCAAATCAAACGCTGGCATGTTACATCCTTGAATTAACTTGCTCAAATCCCCTTGCGCCAACTTCTCTTGAATATGGATGCAGTTTCTGATTCCACTCATAGTCACTCGCTTTTTATCAACCTCCAACGTTTCATGTGCTTGGTCCACCCAGAATGTCATGTCTGGCAAGGCCTCCGATAAAATGACCGTACTGACATGATGCATCAGCTGTCGCACAAAGGTGAAAGGTCCAGGTCCATTTTTGCGTAGGTAATTGAAGCTACTTCGATCATCTGAAATGGGTGCTTTGGGATCACAATCAGGATTGAACGGCTCTCTTGGTTGGTCCAGGTACTCTTCAGCAAATGCCAGTCGTGTGCAATATTGAATAGCGGCAATCAGGTGAGTAAGCAGGTTCGGATCCCGGTAGGTGCCATCCGCATTGACCATTGAGAGTGCAAGGAACTGCATTGGAGGGAAGTGGTACTGCCCCACATATCCTCCCACTTGTACCTGAAAGATACCACACAAAATCTGTGATACATATTTCGAGATCAGGTCATTCGTAATGTCACAATACTCCATAGTTTCTCCGTGAACTGTTGATCCAGGCGTATCCATGCGTAACACAATGTCCCGTAACGCTACAATCTTGGCCTTAGTACAGTTATGCAATTGCATATCTTGGTCCACACGGCTTTCTGCTTGCTTAACAAGGAACCATATGAATGTTGAAAGGATCTTTGCATACTTGAACACAGATGCCTTTTCCTGCAGGGGCATCATCCCTTTGTTGTCCTCCATTTCACTGCTCAATCATACATCAGAAAACATCATCTACTTTGGTGAAAAAATCAGACTGCTCACCTAGTTTCAGCCATACACAATCGTTTCAGAAATTGGCCCGTCTTGTGCATCCGCTTCATGACTGCATTGATCCATGACGCAATATATACAACCATGACATTGATACTCTCCTCTTCTCCTACAACCACCAACTCCTCATAAGTCTTGCCTGCCGCAATTAACCCTTCAACATAATCATAAATTCCTGTGGTGAATATCCAGTTGGCCATGTCTTTCCGCATAACATCATCAAGAGGGGTGCTTGATTCTTCAGCAGCATGCTTCTCCAGCTTTTCTATCATTTTCTTTACTGCTTCGCGGTGACTGTCGTTGGAAGGAGGTGGAGGTTGTTCTTGCACTAAATTTGGCTGCACTGCTTCCGGTCTCCTGTAAGGGAGGACTGGAAAGTAGTGCTGATGTGAATGACCATACAATGTTTGGCACTTGTCTGCTTGAGAGTTTGCCATTCGATACGTTTTTCGTGCTTCTTTGTTGGCGTGATCTACATAATATTTTCAAATGAGCATGATTTACAAACAATCTTAGCTTCAACAACTCACGTGCTCCATGTTCCTTTGAGAAGTGATTGGTCAAGGTCTTCTTGGATGGCCACGACTTATGACACAAAGTACAAGTAAACCCATTGTATATCAACAGGCCCTGAACAGGTTCACACTTTCCACCT